ACTCATGTGAAGCACAAGTCATAAGCTATCATCTTCAATGTTTTTCAAGTTTCAACCTATTTGCTATATATTTTTCACATATGAGTTACATCATATTGTCCCCGTTCTGGAGAATGACCCTTATACTCCCCAAATGATTGTGACTTCAAAATCTGTCCATTATATTTTTCGCGTACACGTATATATTTTTATACATTTATATAAAATTTGTGAATTCATGGCTGTCATATATTATATATATATAAATGTCTGTGAATACTTCATTACAATTTATTTATTTTTAACATTTCTATTAATATTTTTATCCCACGCACAGGTTCATCCTTCTGTGGGATTTCTATATTTATTTATCAAAATTTATCAAAATGTATAAGTATTTTAATGTAATTATTGTGATTCATGGTAAATAAATATTATTATTATTATTATTATCATTTTGGAGCCGCCATTTTTTTGTCCTAACAAAAATTTCATAGGAATTGCCATCCGAACTACGTACACCTGCTGAATTTCAAATAAATCAGTCCGTTTGAAGTGGGTCAAAATTGAGTCCAAAGGAGTCGTTTACATACAAATTGATACATGTACATACAGGGTGATTCACCATAAATGTCCCCCCCTCTAGCTCAGTTATTTTTGAACCGATTTCAAAATTTGAAATATCATCTCAAATGATTTTCGATAAAGTTTTTTTTCGCTACATTAGAAAATACAGGGTGCTCGGAACAAACGATGTACAGGGTACTATTTGATTTTTTTATATGGAACACCCTGTTTTTCATTGTATTTTTAGATTCTCTCTGAAGAGCTGATTTGATCAATGCATCACACTTGGGGTCTAGCGGGAATGATTACAGAGATATAGAGTGTTCGAAATCGAGATTTTTCAACTTTAGGAATTTTTCGAGACGAAACTATTCATTATCGGTCAAAACGGCTTTTATGTCCGTATCTTAACTTTTGATTTACTATCTACTGACAGTCAATAATTGGAACAGATACAGGGTGATCAGAATTCTGAATCTTGAACCACCCTGTAAATGTTCCAATTAAATGTCAGTAGACAGTAAATCAAAAGTCAAGATGGGGACCTAGGAGCCGTTTTGACCAATAATGAATAGTTTCGACACAAAATAGTTATTTATGTATCAAGGGCGTAAAGTAGGCGTTTATGGCCTGTGGCGTGAATAATGGCCCGATGGCGCTAGCCGAGGGCCATTACACGCTGAAGGCCATAAACGCATTTCACGCACGAGATACATACAAAATGTTATGCACTAGTGCATAAGTAATGACTATAGATTTCGATAAACTAATATTCCCCAGAATTTAATTTGCTACGTATAAATTCAGTAATCAAGAGAAGCGTAATATTCATGGATGATTTACGTATGAAAATTATCGTACGAATATTGCAATTATCGTAATAGTAAAACTCTTTCAGCTGTAGACGAGATTCATTCTTCAGAATTTTACAATATGTATACCCAGTATATAAACCTAACTCATTTTGACGTTGTCAATCAATCTGATGGTTGTTGTCTATAGCAATACATCCAATAAACGAGCTGAATTGTCATTCTTTGATTGAAAAGTAAAATTAGTGATAATAATAATAGCGAGATATGGAATCGGATGAAGAAGAAGTTTATGATATACCGCTGGATATATAAGAATCTAGGAATATGATCATAGGTTTTTTATAAATTGATGTGGATGTGGATATAAGGTGACTGAGAACAGCGGACGGTAAAGTTTACTTTACGGCCCGTGGGCAATAATGAGCCCGCGGGCGGTAAAGTGCGACTTAACGCCCGCAAAACCGGGCGGTAAAGTGCACTTTACGGCCCGCTAGTGCATAAAAATCCTAAAGTCTCGAAAAATCTCGATTTTGAACACACATCTCTGTAATCGTTCCCGCTAGACCCCAAGTGTGATATATTGATGGAATCAGCTCTTCAGGAAGAATATAAAAATACAATGAAATACAGGGTGTTCCATTTGAAAAAATCAAGTACTACTCTGTAGATCGTTTGTTCCGAGCACCCTGTATTTTCTGATGCAACGGAAAAAAAATTCTGAAAAATCATTCTAGATCATTTTTCGAATTCACCAGAAGAAACTCGCAGAATGCGGTATTCCACCTATAGTACTTTTTCGAACTTTGGAAACGATCAATTCAAACTATTAAGTACTTACATTTTTCGATTTAGGACAATTTCGAATCTTCAGAACATTGTCGTTCTTGAGGAAACTATTGAAATGTTTAGTAATTTTTCCTTACTTTTGTATCTCATGTATTGTCGATTTTATTCCGATTAACTATTTATTTTATCATCATATAATAATTAGGCGCATTACATCGTATCATGACCTGAATTTCCATAGACCAGGGAGAATATAATGAAATTGTTACACAATGACCGATATTTCCACATGCCTACAAACAGAATCATGAACAAAAAAGAACAGCAGAAAAAACATACCTAGATCATATCTATTCTAGATTTCCAAGTCGATTCAAAGCAAGGTTGATACTTTTTTACAAGCATCATTGGCATCAAAGACAGGGCCGGATTAAATTTTTCAGCACCCGTATAAGGTGAAGTTTTTTTTTTCAATAATATATTTGATATTTTATTAGTGGTACTTCGAGTACTGAACGAAGAACGATTTGGATGGATTCTTCTGTTGAAGTTTGATCGAAATGTAATTATCTGAAGTTGTTATGATGGATTTCACTGTGATGATGTTCTACGAATGAAAAATTCTTGAATAGCTAAGTTCAAGCTGTTATTTAATGCATCACAGGGATGCGATACTTGAATCAATGAAATTCCAAAATTTTACATATGGTATGGTATATATACAGGGTGTTTCCTAACTACGTTTCCTAACTGCAGGTGGTGATATGTCAGGTCATTTTAGAAAGAAAAGTTCCTATTAACATATGTCCGGAGTTGCTTCGTTTCTGAGATACAGGGCGTTGATATTGATGAAAAAAAAACGGTAATTATTGAATATCATGAATATCCTAGAACCGATTTGGTTGAAATTCAATACTTTCATTTGAACTAATGAGGCGCTTATTTAGCTCTATTAAGATTGAAATTATTGGGGCCAGTGGCGTCTCAGTGGGCAACACAGCCAACAATATTGTGAAAAAAAAGTACACCACTGACTTTTTTGATAAATTCGATTTTTTTTTCCAGATTGAGCAACTCAAAATACAACTTTTTGGTCTCTCGCATTTTCTTCATATGCAGCTTCATTTTCGAGAAAAAAAATCAAAGCCACTGTATTGCATATCATGAACACCTGCATTGGAGAAATGAGTTTTTCGTTATTTCCGACAAAAATTTAATTGACACTTAATATGCTGAAATTTTAGAAAATTTGACAAATAAAAGTTCGAAATTTCAACCAAATCGGTTCCAGGATATTCAGATATTTTATAATTACCGTTTTTTTTTTCCTTCAATTTCAACGCCCTGTATCTCAGAAACGACGCAACTCCGGACATATGTGCATTGGAACTTTTCTTCTTAAAATGACCTAACGAATCACCTCCTCCAGTTAGGAACCGTAGTTAGGAAACACCCTGTATATGGTCATATGGTTCGAAAACTTTGTCAATAAAAAAAAACATTCAAATTCATGGAGTTCAAAAATCAATATTCATACATTCTTGAAAGACATGGGTGACCACAGATATCATTATATGTATTATTTTGTTTGCATATTGAGATAATTGTATGAAAAAAGGAATGAAAACATCAATTTCGATTTCTTTCACACTTGGATCCGTAGGAAACAACAATACGAAAACAATGCAGTAAGACATTACAAATTAATGCTGAACAAGTAGTGAGTTGATAAACTGAAAATAATTCTCCATCAGTTTCGATAATGAATTTTTCAACAAGGTTGTGTTTTCTGGCCAGCATTCATGAGGCCTGTTACATTTCTGTATCACTCGTAATTCGTGAGCCATTGACTCCATTCGTTTTTCCTACGATTAACTACTTGAAATTATCTACTTTGTCGAGCGAAGAGAATTATAATCGATCACTACCTCTTGGTCTACAACGATAACAAGAACTCCAGCAAAATTAAAGAAAAAGGATTAGACATTTGAAAAGGAGAATTGATAATGGCCATCGATTCGGACTAGTCACAAATACTCCTGTATCAATTTTCAAAGCAATAACTCATATAGGGTGTTTTTAATCATCGGTTGAATTTTTGAATAATTGCATTTTTCAAGTCACCGTGTATAATAATATTTAAAAGAGATATTGTTTCGAAAATTGAAAAAGGCGTATGCGTGACTAGTCCTAACCGAATGCCATCATCGAAATTTTTGTAAAGAAATGCCTAATCCGTTTTCTTTATAATTTTGCTGGAATTTTTGTGATCGCAGTAGCAATAGGCTAAGAAATTGTGATTCAAAATTTTTCTTGTTCGACAAAGTGGATGATTTTGAGTAGTATATCATGAAAAAACAAGTTTTGAATCGCTCTAGGAATACGAAAGTACAGGGGTGGACACACTACATAGATTTTCAACATAGTATCAGCCAGTATTCAAAAAGTGCATGTTAGAGCACTCTAGATATTCATTATGGAATTCTTGAATCTGTTCTTGTATATTTCAAATGGCATAGCATGTATACTAATCAAGTATACTCAGAATGATCCCTTTATTTTTGGAAATATAATATATTGAATTTGCCGACTTATAAGGGTGTATTCGATCATAAGTATAATGAATCCATCGTGACCCACTATCTGGCATAGAATATACAAGTTGAAAATATACCGGTAATCTTAGCTCACTAACAGGATATTCAGTCCGGTACTGATAAGTAATATCACATAACAAAGTACAGATAATACGATCTCATTGCACACCACAATGAATATTTTACATCTCACGACATTCACCCATCGCACTATAAATTCCTCACGAACCGTCGAAGAACCATCAGTCCTTGTTAGTCCACAGCACAACACAGACCTATTTCCTCGAAGATGTTCAAATTGGTGGTGTTGTGCGCTCTCGCAGCCGTGGCGGCAGCCAAGCCCGGTCACCTTTTGGCGCCCACCCTGTACAGCAGCGCCGTGGTAGGTTCAGTGCCGACCAGCGTCAGCCACCAGAGCAGCTCGGTGGTTCACAGCGCAGCCCTTGTCAGCCCAGTAGTTCATTCGGCCCCGCTTCTGCACGCAGCTCCTATTGTCCACACAGCCCCCATAGTTCATTCAGCTTACACGGCTCCCCTGGTTCATGGTTATGCTGCCCCAGGACTGCTGGGACATGGAGTTTTTGCTGGGCATTATTAGGAGACATTTAGAGTTTTGTGGAGGAGACATGGAAGGATGAGTTTTCGAAATTTTATTTATCATGGACAGTGCCAAAATTATTATTGTCAATATGTTTATAGTAGTCGACGCCATTTATTTGCAAGAATAATATAAAATTAAGAATACAAACGTTTATATTTATTTGATTTCGTCATATCTATTATAAATTTACTGCGTTATTTTGAAAGAATAATGAAATGTAAGTAAACAAGGTTCAAAAAATGTCAGAAACAACAGGAGATCATTCTCGACCTAATGATCAGACTGTTCATGAATCAAATATACTGTGGAAAGTTCTGGAATTGACGAACTCAAACTTCAATCCATAATCAGAGCTCTAACAGATTACCCAAGAATGTTAAGCAGATAATTCGAAGAGTACATTCAAATTTCAAAATCTATGCAACCAATACCTACACTGGACATTTTCTTGAAAACTTTCAAATGAATGTGTTAGACAGTGCCTTAAAGTTTGTATAATGCGATATATAAAAATTTATAAATCAAATTTACCAGATGTACTGATATTTTCTGATTTTTTCTGAAGTTAGTCATCCCGATAATGCATCATCGTGGATCCTTCCTTTCACCAATAATTCATAGCACTTCATTATGAAATTCAGTATAATACATGAATTGAATGATTTGAGGCTGCAGAGACAAAATCTTCACTTCGATATTTATATCAAGTGCTCATTTTCAATTCATTGCATATTAGGAACTAAGGTATATCCTCATGTCCTTACAATAATGCCGTCAAGTCTGCCCACTTTCTGATAGCCAACCTGGTGATGGTGAGGTCAGCCACCAGAGCAGGTAGGTTGTTCATAGTGCAGCCTTCGTCAACCCAGTAGTTCATTCGGCCCCGCTTCTGCACGCAGCCCCTATCGTCCAGGCAGCCCCTATTGTCCACGCAGCCCTCATAGTTCATTCAGCTCACGCGGCTCTCCTGGTTCATGGTTATGCTGCCCCAGGACTGCTGGGACATGGAGTTTTCGCTGGGCATTATTAGGAGACATTTATAGAGTTTTGTGGAGGAGACATGGAAGGATGAGTTTTCGAAATTTTATTCGTCATGGACAGTGCCAAAATTATTATTGTGAATATGTTCGAAGAAGTCAATGCCATTTATTTGCAAGAATATTATAAAATAATGAATTCAAACGTTTATATTTATTTGATTTCGTCATATTCATTATAAATTGACTGTGTTATTTTGGAAGAATTATAAAATGCACGTAAACAAGGTTCAAAATATGTCAGAAACAACAGGAGAACATTCTCGACCTAATGATTAGACTGTTCATAATTCTAATATACTGTGGAAAGTTCTGAAATTGACAAACTCAAATTTCAATCCGTAATCAGAGCTCTAACAGATTCTCCAAAAATGTTAAGCAGATATCTCGAAGAATTGATTCAACTTTCAAAATCAATGCAATCAATTCCTACACTTGACGTTTTCCTGAAAACTATCGAATAAATGTGTAAGAATATGCCTTGAAGTTTGTATAATGATATACAGTGCTAGTCAAAAGTCCCCTCCCCCCCTCGTATCTTTTGAACGGGTATACTTATAATAATGAAATTTGGAGGGTGGAAATAAACGGATGTAGGCTTCTCAACTGGTCATAACAGGTGACGCAATAGTTTATTTCCACCCTCCAAATTTCATTATTATAAGTATACCCGTTCAAAAGATACGAGGGGGCGAGGGGACTTTTGACTAGCACTGTATGATAATTTATATGAATTGAATTTACCAGATGTACCAATATTTTTTTCATTTGTTCTGAAGATAATCATCCCGATAATTCATCATCGTGGATCTTTTCTTGTACCAATTATTTATAACACTTTATTACGAAATTCAGTATCATACATGAATTGCTCATCATGGGCAAAATTACTGTATTCGATTTGAGGCTACAGAAACAAAAATATTCACTTCGATAGTTTCATCAAGTGGCTCGTTTTCAATTCATTGCACATTAGGAACTGATGTATTTCCTGGCCATTTTTTGATAGCCAACCTGGTGATGTTGAGGTCAGCCACCAGAGCAGCAGTGTTTTTCGAACCATTGTTTTTTTCTAATATCCAGAAAAAGACATCATCTGTATAATTTTGATTCGTACATTTTTGGACAGATCTGACTGTGCATTAATTTCACCTGGCAGCCACTATTTTATGTTGTTGAGTTGACTATCACCATATACAGGGTGTACAAGGTTGAGACATGGCTCGGCTGTCCACTCCTGGGGTAAAAACAAGTTCATTCAAGCCAACCTACCTATATCCAAAATCATCTCGTTTAGTTGGTACAAGGCATTGAAGTTTTTTTCGGAAAAAATTCGAAGAGAAATCGGAAAACTCTAAGGTGGTTTTTCCGGGTTTTTTCGATTTTTCACCGAAAGTTTCTTGCGACCACTCTACAAATCGCAAAAGTGGTCCGATCGATTTCATTTTTTGTGAAAAATAACTCTATCAGGAAGAGACGAAGCCTATTGAAATTGAGCAGGGTCGGGAAATTCCAAGTGGGTTTTTCAAGGAGATTTTCCGAAAAACACGGTTCGCTTTAAAACGACATATCTCCTGAACCAATAGACTAAATCCAAATTTGAAAAATGCACCGTATGATGCACAAATGAAAATCAAAACATCAAAATTTGAAATCCTTCCAATTCAATATATATCGATAACAAATGGAAAAATCGAAAATTATCAAAAGTGCAGAGTTATCCACTGGAATATTTCCTACAAATCATTTTCCATAATTTTTTCTGTAAACCCAATAAAGTGGAATTTGCTCTAAATTTATTCCTTCAGGTCGTATATTAATCACTGTAGTGATAAAATTAATAGCTCCTAAAAAATAGTACAGAAATTAAAGTGAAAAATATGAAAAAAAAAATTTAACGACCCATAGGGTACCATGAAGATATATCGAAAATCAAAGATTATCGATAGATGAAGCTCATCGACTTCCAATGAACCATGAAATATTTTTTTCATTTTGTTGATTGGAAGATGAAACAAAAGTGTTGAAAATTTTATTCTCAGATAATTCCAAATATCTCGAAAACAACTGAAAATATCTGAAAATGTTATGAAACCAAAATTATTCCTTTTGATAGAATCTACAAAAAATCCGTATAACATTTTTCTCTGAATTCAATAGTTCGGGAGATACGATGAAAAAACTAAAAATTTACAAGTTCCTAGATAATCACTTGCCAATAGAAAACGAAACAAAAAACAAAAGAAAGTAAAAAAAGCACACTCGACTGTCTTGATTTTTTTCTCATAAACTACGTACCTAGCCCACTCGACTGTGTGGAAAAACCAAGACAGTCGAGTGGGCTAAGTACGTAGTTTGTGGGAAAAATCTCCAGTTCTCTGAACTTTCATAGCGTCGTATACACATCTTTGGTGCCCAATGATAGTTTCAATATAAAAATATGCTCATGATATGGTGCCATGGCCTCTACTTCCATCTTACATGAGCAATGATAAAATATCATCTGCTTTTATAGCGTCGTATAAATTATCTGACCTCTAAATAAACTAATACCTAATGAAAACTACATCTATACTAATCTGATACCTTTCAAAAAATACGTACCTCACTTGTTTTTATCCCATCAGGGGTCCACAGCCCAGCCATGTCCCAACCTTTTACAGACACCCATTATATTTCATGTTATCAATTAGTAGAATATCTGACGCTGATGCATTTGAATTTCTGATGATTATCGATGAAGGAAAATCGTCATTGTTATTGGGCGTATCTACTTCTTTGTCAGGTCATTTCGGCAAGGACGGCTTCTTTCAATGCACATTCAGTAGACAAGGTAGGTACTGATATTTTTTTTTGGTTGTTCGTTGAAACCGGGTTATGATATTCGATAAATGCAAAAAAAACAACCTTGGTAATTGTTTTCCTGTTCTGAATATCGGAGTGCTCGATTTGGATTGGGCGTGTCCTTTTGTTGTTGATCAAAATAAACAGTAAAAAAGCAATTAGGTCTTGCCATGAACACGAACGTTGTTGTCTTTATTATATAGCAGAACTGGAAGTGTACCTACCTATTTTGCGTCATGAAATTAAAGGAAGGCCGTTCTGAAACTCAACGTTTTGTGTTTGGACATACTATAGGATCTCTCCACTATATCAATATGTAATTCCTCTGTCTCATATTGTATATCAGGCCACCTAGAATAAATGTATAATTGATATTGAAATTTCCTTTTCCTCACAAGCTGATGTATGTATTTTTGTAATATTTTCATGTATATATGATTGTTAATACTATGGCTGTGACTTTTCACTTCCTGTTAAAGGTTATACGTGAATAAAGATTATCTATCAATGTATATGTTGAATATTGAAATAATTCACTATCCTGTATTTTTTTGTTATTGAAACTGAGAGTGATGGATGTCATTAGAATGTTTTGAATTATTGTCAGATTGATGTCATTGATCTGAATAAAAGTTTTTGATCGTTTATCGATATATAATTATTAGTTACAATCTTCTAAGATATAATATTGTGGATTGTAACAGTATATGTGCATTTTTTAAGGAGTAACTAAAATAACACATCCATCAGCAAGGAGCAAAGTCCCTGCCTGGCTAGAAAAAGAATTATAAATTATTTAAAATAATTAATAATTTTTTCTCACCCTGTATTACTTCATTTTGCTAATACCAATATATGGTTGGATAGACAATGAATATACCTTCCGAAAAAATAAATAAAAAGGGGATGTTTCCGATTGAAAAAATAATCGATGACGTCACCAATACTACGCGAATGACGCTACAAACTCCGTATGTATATCAAGAGGTGTCGATTTGAAAATAAAAATCGACCTGCCTCAGGATTTTTTCTCAAATTCCTATGCGTTAGAGATAATGAATTTATTCCATACATTTCCACCATAGTGTATATCATTTCGTTATCAGATGATGGTTGAAATTTGCAGCTGGCTCTTGGACTATAAGTGTCATCTTTGAGTGACATAACTGATGGAAGTCATGTTTGAAATATCTGCAAAAATATCTCCAAGCCACAATGGAAGCAACATCCATCTTGAATAACGGTGGCAAAAATGATATCGAATCAAATCGATCCTATCAAGATAATAGTATAGATCTGGTAACCATTGAGGAAATAATGGAAAACTATGAGGAGAATAAGATAGCGATACAAAAATATATAAAGTTCAAGTGTGACGAGTGTGAGGTGGATCCAAGTAAGAGCTCTTCCTGTCTATTAGAAGATAGTTATTTCTGCAACTACTTCAGAAATAATTATGTTTGTGGCATAATGCATGAAGCTGCAAAAATGCTTAATTCTATCGCCTATGCCTATATGATGTCCATCTACGCCAATGTACGATAAAACAGTACCCACCATTGTCAATAATTTGGACAAATATTCTAATACATTTAAAATGTTTCGACTGTTCTCTTGCGGATATGGCTCAACCAAACTGATATATAATTGATAATAGTTTGCCTATGAAGAAGCCCACTTGGTGACTCGATATATTCAATGATATGTTTTTTCAACTCTTTAATAACATTCACGAGAAATACGATAACTATAATCTGATAGTGTGTGGAGATTTCAACCTGGATTTCAATTCAGACGATATTCGATCTGAAAATAACGATAAATCACACTAGGGTTATATTCAGGAATTAAGGTTTACAACCACTTACCTCCCAGTGGGAAATATTTGAACAACACGCGCTTCAAAACAACGTTGAAAAAAATATTGCATATAATCATTGTTTATCATATCATATTTACTATAATTTAAACCAAAACTTCTCCCACAACTTAGAATCATTACCAATAACTTGAAATTTTGCACCGCACACTACTTTCTCGACGCTTCATGCTATATAGTCTGAAAAAACTGTTCAATTATGAGACGTGACGAACAATGATTGTATTTTGATTCTGATGAGAAATAAATGTATCTATCTATATCTATCTATATAGAGATATACTTCTCTTGGAAGTGAGACTTAGCCCTGTGAACAATTTGATTGACAGGTAGTTGACAAATTTCTACAATAAAGATAGATTTTCAGGTCCAGTAGGAGCATTTCTGAATGAAAAGATAATACCAACTCTAAGAGATGGATTGTGCAAAATGTTACGAGAAGTAAAACAAGATGATAGTTTCTATGTGAGTAATTCAACTGATTCTTCTGAAAAATCATCAATCAACTGTTTATATAAAAGAACAATGAAAAAAAGATCGAGTAGTGGGGTCAACAGAAAGATAGAGTTGAGAATATGCATATCTATATTCTTCTTCTGTTCACTCTGATCAGCTTGTCGTGATGACAAAATTCAGTCTGTTATGTGACGGAAAGAGTACGGACATTTCAGAATGGTGGATATTTTGTTTATTCAGTAATCTGAACGAATGTCCTCCTTTGTGAAAAATTGAAGGACCTCTCATATTCATGTTGAGAATTCGTGATATTTCTGTAACTCACTTTTTCGTAAAAAACAAACAATATAATACAATTTGAGTCTCACCAGTTGGAGTTACTTAAGGGTGCCTTCCATACCAGCTTCTTGCAATAACTTTCTAATGAAGAGAAGTGCTGCTGCTTATTTTTGACCATTTCCATAAGAGCAGAAAAAACGCTGAGTTTTGTACGTCAGATGAATGATGAAATGTCAGATGGGTTTATCTCATTATCTGTCAGTAGAATATAATCACAATATAAAATTATTCGTGTAATTGTGATGGATGGTGTTCCGTCATGGATTCATTGCATGAAATAGCTGCAAACAGAATATTGCAGAATATTATAGGACTTTTTTGAATGATAGACCTAGAAGAAGAAGTTGATTTTGGGTTCATCCTATTACCCAGTTGACCAAAACATGTCGCAGCTTTATCTCTGCTGCATTTCAAATGTTCCATGTTTCATCACAGAGATGTTCCCATCAGAGATATAGCATAGATGAATGTCCGCCTCAAATGAAATCACAGACTTAGGTATATCAGTGATGCAACATCAGACTTGAATCAGATATGCTCCTGTGAGATCACAGTGATGACTATGTATCTACATAGCTCTCTCCATGAGCATGCCAGAGACGTTTCTGATAAATCTGTGCTCTGCATTAGCTCCATCTCAAATCATCCATAAATTTATACTGGTTCCACCAGTATTTGAATCAGTTTCGAATGCAACACCATAATGTTTAGGATATATTCTTAGATTTTCAAATGTTGAAATCAAAAAATCCATGAATATACCCCTAAACACATGGAGTGGCATTCAAAACAGTGAAACAAAAGGAGTAAAAATGTAAACTTCATTCCAATCCATTGACAAATTACTAAACAAACCTCAAAATATAATATGTAAAATAAAAATATGAAATAGAATATACAGGGCGTTCCCAGTTATCATGATGATCACAACATGGTTTTCTTCCATAACTCCTTCATTTATTCCTTTTTACCTGCAGATTCCATCTCTTGGAAGTGATGCATAGAAAAGTTATCATTCATTTTCATGGGAGATCAATGTTTTGTTTTTACTGTTCTCTCCAATAACCATTTTTCCATCAAAATCGAGATCAAAATCTTTAGTTGAGCTGACTACAACTTGAATAAATAATATTTCAGTGCAAATAAAAGTATACAAAACAAGTGTTCACCTGTCATTATTGCGAAAACTCTCAGATTGGCCTAACCAGCTGGTCTTCGCTACACGGAAATCAATACCTGGTCTCTTCAGTATATTTTTGTACCTAGTATGCTTTCGAAATCAAAATTGATGATTTTCCTCTCTTGAAGTCCAGCTGGAATAAAACTTCAATTTCAAACTACAAACTAGTAGCATACCTATATTAATAATAAAAATATGACACAAAACACAAAGAAATATTGTCACTAAAATTGCAGAGTTGAATTTCCTTGTTGGATACAAAGAATCACAAGTACTTAAAAAACTGAAAAATAGCCTCAAACCTAGCTAGAATAAAGAACCAAAACATTATCATCTATTTGCAGATATCTATTTCATGTGGTCAATGATTTATGAATGATTGTTCAATGATTATAAATTTAATTGGTATACAATTGAAATGAATTCCACCTAGACATGATGGTGTGCAAACTGCAAGGGTAGGCAAATCATATCTAAAACTTACTTACCTTGGAAGGTACTGACACCGTATAGAAGTATACGGTGGTACTGATGACTACATCAGCAGAGGGCTTCGAATCACACAAGTGGCTTACTTGGAATGAAATTCATTTCAATGTCCCAATGATTCCAATGAAACAAGAGTCATCTTGGTGATTTTGGTGAATGGCAGATCATTGTTGTTCTGGTCATTTAGTGAAATAACAAATACATTAGTTTTGTTTTGTAAACAACGAGGTATATCCTTTTGTGCTGCTAATTTCGTTTCGTTACCGAATTTCTTGAAAATCCACGAAAAAGTGAGGTTAGGAAAGCCCAGTAAACACAAAGCACATTCTTCGTCTTCGTGATTGTTAAACCACATTGACCACAACCACAGTGAATTTCACGTACTCGAATGATCACTATTAAACCTACAATAATACAAGCAAGAATTATATTTTGGATGCAATTTGCATCAGTTCAATTTCAGAACGTTGTGGAATGTGATGCTACAAATTTCTTCAATTGATCTATATTGTGATGATTTTTTTTTTTTTTATCGCTTGAAGCGCACGAAAGGGAATCCCTATAATGTTCAAAGAACATCGTGCGTTCCTAGGGAGGATAGGGATAGGAGGTAGGTATTGGATTTTTTTTTGAACTCCTGGAGATTATATGTTGTTGGGAATACTTCCTCAGGCAATGAATTCCAGAGCCTAGCCGTTCTATGGATGAAGGAGTTTTGATAAAGTGCTGTTCGACATCTTTCGAGGTTGACAACGAAAGGATGTGCTGACTGGGCTTGTCTAGTTCGTCTGACTGGTATTGCTACTGAAGGGATGATAGCAGAGATTTCCGAAGAACATTTCCCGTGGAAGTATCGATAGAAAAGTGAAAGGTCGCCGACCTTTCTACGGTGTTCCAATGATGTCAAAGAGTGAGTGAGTGTGGCGTCACCCACCAGGCGGATGGCTCTTCTCTGGATGGAATCTAAGAGCATCAGCGTATGTTTTGGTGCTGAACCCCATATGTGGGAACAGTATTCTAGAACAGGCCGTATCTGCGCCTTGTAGATCATGAGGAGCTGTTGAGGTGTAAAGTAGCTTTTCGCACGGAACAAGAATCCGAGTTTTTGTGAAGCAGCTTTTGCGATGGATCTCACATGATTATCCCATGAAAGAGTGTTGCTGATGGAAATACCGAGCATAGATATGGTGGACTTGGTGGGGATGGTGGTGCCAGACATTACAATGTCGGGCATACTGAGTTCCGCCTTTCTAGAGAAAATACATGCTTGAGTTTTGGTGGCGTTGAATTCAACTAGGTTGTTGGTTCCCCAGGCTGTGATTTCAGCAAGGTCTTCATTGACAGCATTGACCTGCCTGCGCCGTGAGTTCTTAGTTTCCTGGGAACTCACGGCGCAGGCAGGTCAATGCTGTCAATGAAGACCTTGCTGAAATCACAGCCTGGGGAACCAACAACCTAGTTGAATTCAACGCCACCAAAACTCAAGCATGTATTTTCTCTAGAAAGGCGGATGCCTGGGATGCCTCAATTTAATCACGTTGATAGAACGTGTGATGAAACAAAGTTCTTTAATTGATCTCCTTTGTGATGACGCCTGAGATGCCTCAATTTTATCACGTTGATAGAACGTGTGATGAAACAAAGTTCTTTGATTGATCTCCTTTGTGATGACGCCTGAGATGCCTAAATTTTATTACGTTGATAGAACGTGTGATGAAACAAAGTTCTTCAATTGATCTGCTTTGTGATGACGCCTGGGATGTCTCAATTTTATCACGTTGATAAAACTAGACCGTTGGCCCATAACACTAGGGGTGTCGATTATCTACGAAGGTATGCCCTTCAAGAGACATGGAGATTGAGTTGGATTATCGGGAAAAAAGTGGTTAGTTGGATCGGTACCCGGTCGCCCATCTCCCTAATCAATCAATTTCCTGTTGAAAGTAATGTTGAAAATTGTTTCATAGAAGAAGCTTCAAAATTCATTGGAATAGTCGCATCTCGCCAAATTAACCGGGCGCCAGCCGATTTGCATACGTCTAGGTCGGTCCCGAAGGGCGGCATACGGATCGCAAGTTACCGTTAACCGACATTTCTCTTAGATTATTTACGATGGTATGCCCTTTGGTTAATTCCTTCATTTCGACCCATGAATCAATGCCATAACATTTGCATACAGTTTGGGTGGACGAATTTAGACTTATTCGAAGGTCACTTTACATCATTGACCTGTATGTACAAGATTATCTACGAAGCTCCCAAATTTTGATCAAGGTTAGTTAAGCATAAACTATGCATGGAATAATGATTTGCATACGATTTGCGAGTTGCGGGGATTACATTTAGCCCAGTAAAATTAGCAAAAATGGCGGCAAAATTCGTTCAACACCCTGTAAGAGCTCAAGATATCGACAATCAAATTCTTTCTAACTTCAGAACTTACACAAAACTCGTCCCGATTTACCCGTTTCGAGTTATTCGAGGTCGAAGTTTCGAAAAATCAGTTTTTGGTTCAAAAACCACTAAGAAACTAATTATTATGTCTGTACGACGCGTCTGAACTGCCATCCTAAAAAAACTTTTTTTTCACGGATATTTGTCTAGATTACTGTTGATCTCCTAATTCACAGTTGCAACTGATGTAAATTAGGAAGGAGAATCTTTTTTTTTTTCAAAACATCTCATAATTCACAGTTGCAACTGTAAATTAGGGGATGTGTAAAAAAAAGTTTCCCCTTCCTAATTTACAGTTGCAACTATTAATTATGCTAGTACTGAACTGATTTATTTCACGAAAGGGAACATATAACTACTATTTATGTCGAACCATTTATATCACGCGGTATATGGCTGTCTCTCTGACAATCACTGACCACCTGCTGTCCTGTCGTCCTTATATATCAGATGATTTGGCTGGCTATATGCTTGTCGAATGTTCCCGAAAATCATCGCTACCCTTCTTTTGTTCTCGAAGCTTCTCATAGAAAAGTATCTCTCTCTC